TGTTTGTTTTGGGTTTTTTTTCTGTACAATTTATGATGTTTTAACTTATATTAACTGGAAGAAATTTAAATTAAATCAAAAGAATAACCAATATAAGTGCTTAGTATACCTGGAAACTGATGAATATTATATATTATAATTATTATATTGATATTCTGGTAAAGGAAGTTTTTGTCAATTATAAATCAGTTTTTTAGAAATAATGCATAACTGAAGATACTTCAGTACAATACCAGTTATCTATTTGAATACATACATTTGTGGAATTAACAAATACCTTTGATACATTTCCCAACTCTATTTTAATTCAAAGACTTGATATCAGTAGTCATAGCCAGAGTCCCTAGAGTTTTCTGTGAGCCTATTCTGTCTTGTAAGATGCAACCCACACTCATATTGAAATGGTTTTTGGTTTTGTTTTTAACTTTGGGGATTACTATTTTGTACATTGGAACAAATTATAAGTATCCTGAAAACATCATATGCTAAGTCTCTGCTCTGGAGAAAAGGAGCTTACTGTGGAGAAAAACAAGCAACATCTTACCATGGGATAGTGCTATGATAATCATTAACCCAGAGAGGGCCACTCAACCTTGGGGAGGTTGGTCAGGGGAGAGAGATTTCTTGAATGTTGGGGTCTCTAAACTGAGTCCTGAGGAACCCATAATATTAATGATTAGTCTAGTCAAAAGTGGTAAGTAGAGAAAGAAAAGGATATTGCTGGGGAACAGCATGTAAGAAGACCCTGAAACAGAGAAAGCATGGAAACATTCAAAGAGGGCATGGCAAGAGCTGGGGAGATAAAGATCCCTGTTAAACTGCATTTAAGGTACGTTATCTTTGTCCTGAGGTCATGGGGAAAATTTAAACAATGAGTTACAAAATCAAATTTGAACCTTTTAAAAACCAGTCTCAGTTTGAAGCATGATTGGATAGCAAAGACCAGAGTCATGAGGATTTCTAACTGAGGTACTGGAAACCCTACTAAGAAGAGGTAGACTTAAGAGAACTTGGATGTGAGAGAATAATTCCCAGGTTCCTGACTTGGAAGGTGGAAGATAGAAGTGCACAGGAAGAAAAGCAAATTGTAAGGATGGTGCGAGTCAGAGATGACTGTAGGATATCTAAGAGGAAATATAAACAGGCACTGGATACATGGCGATGAAGCACAGGAAAGAAGTCTGGACTAAAACTATAGTTGAGGAATCTTCAATATAAAAGTGATAAGGCCCCAATTTGAGCAAGATAAGCCACTTCATATGATTAAATTCCCAATGATAAAGTTTTAAGGATTAGAAGCTTCTACTCTAGTAAGTTAATAGCTCACAGCAATTCTTTACTCCCCACCCATTTCTTAATCTCAGCCTGGAGAGTGTCTCTTAGCTGCTTATGTTCCTTTAATAGCTACCATCCAAACTGTCTTTTGCTATAATGAGTGTAATTCCTTAGAACATGCAAGGCTGAATTAATACAAACCCAAGTTTCTCATATGCTCTACATTTAACAGTGTCCAAAGGATCAATAGGACCCATAAAGTTATCACAGCACTAGCCCTTCTTACACAAAATTTAGAATCTTCACCCCTACGGCATCAAGCAAAATTACCAAGCATAAATACGTCCAGACCTACATTACTATTGCCTGCTAACGACTATAGCATAGATTTTGAGTCATCTAGGAGAAGAAGGTAAAAAGAAAAGGCATGAAAAAAAGGATGAAATGTTGATTTCACCCTCATTAGAACTGATTGTAAATGCCAAGGATGTATTACATTGTGAATCCAAATATGTGAACTCCACTGGGCCCTCTAGGGAAGCAGAGGTCAGGGCAGATCAGAACTAAAAATTATTCTGTGTATTGGTCCATTGGCAAGACATTATTGACCTTGCTGAAAACAGTCAAGAGAGCATGGTAATGGAAGCGAAATGACAGTGGATTGAGAAAAGAATGAGAAGTAAAGACTAGATGGTTAGTATAGTGAATTCTTTCAGAAAGAACCTAAAATAAGAGCTCAAGGAGAGAGGGGGCAAATAACTAGATGGTTGCACAGGATCAAGAGAGGGTTGTTTGCTTGTTTTTGTTTTTGTTTTTATTTTTTTAGGGTGGGAAAAAAGTTTAAGGATGCCTCGAACTGGGGAACAGTCAGGAAAGAGGAAGCAAGAGAAGATATAAGAGGAAATGGCAAGGTCCTGGAGGAGATGAGGAATGGATTAGGAGCATCTTCTGAAACTAGTGGGAAAGATGCTGAATTGGTCAGGACTTTGCAGCTGCAAGTGTTGGAAACCCAACTCTAACTAAACAGAAAAGGAAAGTTACAGTTTCTTTAAGAAGTGAAGCTGGCTTTAAGTTCAAATGAAATCAATAGATCTCTCCTCAGTCTCTCTTGCTCTCCCCTGGGTTAGCTTTATTCTCAGACTAGCTGTTTCCAAGAGAGGCCAAAGATGGCCAGAAGTGGCTCCAGGCTCACATTCTATCAGCTTAGGAACCCCAACAGGCCAAGTACTCCTTTTCCCAATAGTATAGGCTTGGTTGAGCCTGAGTAGCATATCCAACCCCATCAGCCCCACTGAAACCACTTGAATTCAAAGTGTGGAGGATGAGACTCCCCAAAGGAAAAATCAAGGTGTAGCTACCAGAAGAAAGAACATGGATGCTCAGCAGGCAGAAATAGGAGGTGGAAAGAGGGCAGTAGAAGTAGAGAAAGTGACAGAGTTGTCTTAAAAGATAAATAGGATAAATAGGAATTAACCAGGAGAGATTAGAAGAATCCAGTATTGAACAATAGAGTGGAAGGTATCTTTATAAAAGAATTTTTATTGCACTTAGACTTGCTCGTCTTAAAAAAAAAGGCAATTTCTTATATAAAAGAGTTTTTATTACTAGAATTCCCTTATAATTCAGAGTCAAATGACAATAAGAGAGGCTTTTTTTAAAGAACTGAGTCTCAAATTTCCTCTGCCAAGAACTGATATTTTAAACTTTAGGTTGAATTTAAAGATTCCTTCAGAAGATGTTCCAGTTTCCATCTTTCTCCTATCCAATAATTTCCATCTTTCTCCTTTCCAATAATTCTTTGCCTTCTCAGTTCTTAGCACTCTATTCATTCTCCCTGTCTTAAATCCAAAGAACACCAAGACCCTCCAAAACAGTATTTCCATATACCCAAGCTTCTGGATCCAGCAGAGGCAAAGTTTTAATCATTCCCAATCCCTTAGCTCTATCCTAAGGATTCTCTGTCTCAGACAACTTTACTTTCAAGAACAGTTTAATATACATATGCTTCTCAACTTATAATGGGTTTTCATCCAGATAAATCATCATAACATTAAAAAATCATAAGTCAGGGACAGTCTATAATTCACATGTGCATCTATTCCAAATGGATTGCCTTCAGTGGGAGGAAATAAGTTGTCTCTGATGAGCTTACTCTAGGATTCTGTGGCCCATGATGGTACAGGCCCACCACACTTGTCCAGGCCTAGTCTCCTCCCTGCAGGTTGAGGAAGCCTATTTAAGTATTGTCTTCTGATCTAGACTGTTTATAAAGGGCTTCCCTAAACTACTTGGCCTTTCTACAGTTCAAGTCCTTGAAAAAACTTTTTCAGAATCCACAAAAGTTATTTGTGATTAGTGCCGGTTAGGTTTGAACATTAGACTTTTAATTCATTAATTAAAATTCTATATTTTATATATAGTTTTAAGTGATATGCAGCTTTAAATGCCTATGTTATCAAGTGATAGGAGAACCAAAAGCCCCAGATTAATATTTGGACCACACAATTATCAACTTCAATATTGAGGTAAAAATAATGTCAGTTCCTGACTTTCGCATGTAAATATACAACTATTTCCTCCCCATTGCCAAACCACAGGCTTTGTACTAATTCATCTGTACCTCACCACCACTACCCCCAACCCCACCCTGGGCACTGCCAGGTATGCAGGTATTTACAAGATGCCCAGCTAAATTTAACCAGTGGCTGTGTGATACAGGAAAGGCAACTGGCCCTGCTGATTATTAATTTTCACGTTGATGGTGGCGGTGTGAATGGGGAGTAGTGGACAAAGGGGATAAATAGTCTTTTTGAAGTCAATTCTGCAGTGCACTAGGTCTGTCTCACTTCAAGCGTCTTTTGAAACCAAACTCTCGTGAAAGAGTATCTAAGGAAGGAAAAGAAAAATAAACAGCTGCTTACCAAGCACATTTACCAGAAAATAATGTTTCAGTATTGATGAAGGTTTAGATTAGAATTTAGGATGATTCTATGCTATTAAATCCATTAGCACTCTTCCCCTGTCCCTAAAACCTTTCATAATCATACTAGTTTTTCATGACATCAAAAGTCAAAACAGTACAAGTTGATTTTGGTATAAATGCTGGAAAGTATCTCCTATTACTTGAAGGACTATGAAGGATTTAGACTTCTACATGTAAAATGATCGTGGCCTCTTTTCTAGGCTTTGTAAATTGACCTTTTAGGGTATAACTTTCACAGGTCAGTTGGCCCACCTAAGTAATTAAATTAAAGATAATAGTTCCTATAATCTTTACTGAGTTTTAATGGAGTTTTATCCAGTGCATTTGAATGAGTAGGATAAAGTATTATATTGTAGATTCCACATACTCCTTACGCCCCACCTCTGCTCCAGCCTGCGTCCAGCCGTTGGAAGTGGATGTTCCCACTGCCCTGACGCCATCCTGACACCATGTGTTTCTTCAGCTTCTGATCACATCACCCTCTCTTCATAACTCTGTAGTGGTCCCACGTTTACATTCTGCGTTAACACAAACCTCCCACCCTCTGTTAGCAGAGCCTACTCAAGACTAGCTTTCATTAATTAGCATTTCATGTCCCTTTTCCTCCACTCCACCCTTCACACGAAAATCATTCTTCATCTGAGTTTGAAACAGTCATTCATTCACCTTTTCTTCCAAAATCCCTTAAGCTCTCTAATGCCTTTGTGGGTATGGGTAGGGACGAAACAGTACTTAAAATGTACACAAGGTATTGTGAAACATAATGATATTTTATTAGTTTTATTCTAGGTAAACACATTTAACCAAATTACAAATTATATTGCTCTTAAAGTTAAACAGAAAATTCCACCAGATAAGACTTCTGAGGTTTGGTACAGTAGTTTGTCTTGATGGCCTCATGTATACAGTCACTATAGTCAGTATTACATTTGCCACACTTACAGCTTACAGCAACAGGATAGGAAAAGTAAGGAACAACATGGTGTGGGCATCCTGGTATTTCTACAGTCCTATAGATGATGTCTCTATATGTACAAACATCCTGGGACAGGGCGTATTTGGGAAGAAATAGCTTGCCATTGATATCCTGAGGAAAGAACATAAAAGAGAGCATAATGTGATAGGACTTTAGGAAACACATAGATAATGGAAACAAAAATAAATTCATTTATATTCCTTTGTCACAAATACAACTGGGAAAGGATCTTTAGCCTCATTCCCCAATACCAACTCAACACAATGACACTGAATCCTACCGAGACAAAAGTGACACCCTCTTATCTTTCATCCTTGTTCATGAGAACAAGATATGGTTTAAATAAATTTGGGACATCAAACTGTTATCAAATTATCTGTACCCATTGTGCTGAGTAGATCTACATAATATTGTAACCTGTGCACTCTACTTCTAAGGAGCCAATCACCATTAGATTGGGGAAATGAGGTTGTGATTTACCTCATTTTCTTTTTAGAGAGAAATAGACTATTTCAAGGTTTATATAATTTACAACTAAAAGAAATGAGATGAACTACATACCCGTGTCATACAATATCCAGCACAGATGGTGGTGTTGACGGTTAAGCAATAAGCACACTCTTTTCTTTCGACGTGCATTGTATACTCAGTTGGAATACAAAATGACATTGCTTGGCCACATACAAGGCCAAAAAGCATGGACATCAGGAAGGTAGCAGTCATGCTAGATCAAAGATAAAATTAAAGAACCTTTTACATGTACCTTTTCAGGACATTCAGAAGGAACATTTGCAAAGAGCATGAATACACACACACACAGCCAATAATAATAATAACAGCTACTGTTTATGGAATGCCTACTTTGTCCTAAGCCCCATTAGGTGTTTTTACATATTTAACACTCTCCATAACTTTCCAATATACACTTAGATGTAGCTATGATCCACATATCCCATAGTGTAGGAGCTCGCATAGTGCAGATTCTGCTTGCAAGCTCCACTAAGCACCACTGGGCAATGAAATGGCAACCCTGAAACACCGCAACAGAAAAATGGCAGAGATGTACATGTCAACTAACTGTAAAATAATTCATCCAGTGGATAAATAATATAAATACTTTCCTTTATGATTATAAGAAGTGAGTTTGCAGGTTCAAGAAAGGCTTTCCCACAACTGTAGTTTTCTAAAAAACTTTGGTTCAATAGCTTAAATGGCAAAAAAAACCCAAAAAACACTATTTGGTTATAATCACAAAGGGCAAAGAAACCAAGAAAATGCATAACCAAATTTCAACACCATCCCAATGCATGTAATATTGCATGTAATTCGACCTATTAGCTATCAAGGAAGACACCATGAACCTAAGGAAATTCCTGAAAAGGTCAACTAAAATTGCCACTGGTGTTAAGGGGCTAACTCAGAAATCTAAGACTCCCCACCCCCTACCTCCTTCTGAACCGTTTGAATATGCCTTTAAGGTGAAAAGAAGTAGAGTTGGAAAAAGTTTGAAGGATTATTTTACACAGAAGGTATATAGAATTCATTACTTCAAAAAGAGTATAGAGGCAAAACTATAAGTTGACATAAAGAGAATAATATAATCAAGGATGTCAACTCCATTATGGGTTAGCCAGGAACATTAAAGAATTTTTGGCTACATAGAAGACAATAGAGGGTCCACAGTTCCTCAAGCAAAAGCAAAACATCCATCTCTCCAGTAGAGCCTGTGTGATGGAGAACTTGTTCAGTATCAATTGGACATCATAATGATCTGGATAATGTTATGACATACTTATTTTAGTTCTACTACTAAGGGAGTGTAATCAAATTTCAGACTTTTTGCATGTAAGCTGATCATATCAAAGATTAAGAAGATTTCTTTCTGCCTTACAAATATTGCACAGCTAGTTAAGTATGTTTGGATTGTTTTTCCTTCTTAAGTATCATTGTCAGTAAAGAAAATATATGCCTTAATGGAGTGGTATTGTTATCTGTGAACATAAACTTATTTTCTTGTTTTCTTAAATAAATTATAATTCACTAAACATTTTTATTCAATTACCAAAAAAGTATCAAGATTTCTTCAAATTATACCCCAGCAGCATCTTTAAGCTGCATACTCTAAAACCTCTGTTAATTGAAACTTCATAGACTTAGCCTCAGTTAACAAGAATTAGTTTTCAAACAATTTATAAGAAACCATGAAAACTACATTACACAGGTTACCAGGGATCTATTTTAAATGTCAAATTCCAGGGATTAGTGGTCATTTCACCAATCTCCTATTCCTAGAATGAGAATTACAGATAAATTAGAGGAACATATATTGAGCACCTGAGCCAGGCACTGAGAGACACAAATGGATAAGATATGATCCTTTATCCAGAGGGCTGACAGTCTAGTGGAGGAACTAAGTATGAATATAAATAATAAAAATATAGATTGTTCTATGTGCTCTGAAATAATCCAAATTATGATTCTGAGACCCACAGTTACCAAAGATTTCCATATGTTTAACTCCACTTACTTCTGAATAAATGAGGAAATGAAGTAACCCATTTTAGGAAAAATTTTTGGTATTAAAGGTTAAAATAAGAAGAGTTTTCTAGTGAATTCTTTCAAATAAAATGTTGTATATTCATTCATTCTTTGGAGGGTTTTTGTATTTGAATTAGAAAGCAAAAACATAAGAATTCCTTACTCATGGAGTAAGTGCTCTGATATTCTCAAGTGCTTCTCAAATGTGAGCTCCTTCTATGGTATAGAATTGGTTCCATTATTTTAGAGCCACAGACCTAGAAGATCCTTTACAGGATCTTAAAAATGCTTACCAGGTAAATGATGTGAAATACTCATCCATCACGATCATTATACCACTTACCCATCTAAATAGCCAGCTACTGAGTTTTTGTCATATTGAAAAAATTACCTTCACATATTTTAACGTCTAGCTGTATGAGTCTATATAAACTAGATTTGTGTTGACCAAGTGATGAGAATATTGGTCTAGAAATTAAGGAACAAAATTCTTACATGGATCTATGAGAAATTGGCTGAAATATATAATCTGTCTAGGTCTTATTCCCCCATCTGTAAAATAGAAAAGAGACAAGCACAACTGACCTTTTTTAAAATGTAGGATGAAAAATTATTTTGGAACTTTTTTCCATCGTTACCATATTCACTATGGACACTCTGTATATTTTTTGAAGTTTCTCTTATAAATGTAGAACTCTAAACTAATAAAAGTAAAACATAAAAGTGAATTACCAGCCACAGTAGCTGTACAATTTTGTGGCTATAAAGAAAGAACTATTCTTTCTCCTTTACTTCTTTATTATAAATAGTAAAACTTTACCCACAAAATCTTTCTGGACTCAATTTCCTCATTTATATAGAGTAAGATTTAGAACCAGAAGATAATCACAAAGGTCTATGCAGTACAAATAGTCTGTGATTCTATATGATAAATTAGTGTCAGATCCCTGACATTAAGATTGCTATGAGTTAGTGATCTAGAATTCTGCTTTCAGATTTAATTGCAGTTGTATGTAACTGAACAGTATCTTTGTGCCTTCATCTTTCCACATGCCCCTTCCTAAAATCATAAAAAGAATAAGTCAATGCATGTGAAGCACTTGGCATTCTATATAAGAAAGATTATATAACACTATAACACTATCTAAATCAGTGTTAATTAATACCTTCCTATATGATCTGTCACATTTTCTTCTTTATTGTCACCTGGGTTCTCATCTCTGTGACTTAACTGCTTGTTCTGAAGTCTCCATAAATAATTTATTGAGCACTTAAACACAGAAGGCATGATTTTAGGCAGGCCCTAAATAATGAGATGACTTCTTTAGATGCATGACCATATATATCCCTATTTTTAACATACCTTCTTATTCCAAGATATGTTCTTTCGTTTATCCCTTCCTCCACCTTTTCTCTCTTCTTTTTGCTTACTTTAATTCTTAATAAACACATTTCTCTCTGCTCTGCTAATTTACTTCATCAATCTTTTCTCTCCAAATTTCTTACTATACCATAAAAAGAATCAATTGCCCATCCTATGAACAACCCTGGAATGTCACTAAAGCAGCATATTTCTCTAGAGAGTAAAATGTGCTACAGCAGGTATGTGTGTTGGGTACTATCCAAGGGGGGTTAGCTGTTAAATACCTAAAAAGACTTTGTAATACAGAGTATATTACCCCTGCAGGTACTCAAAACTGAATTTACTAAGACTTCCCAGAAGTATATTTTCATCAAAGATGAACATTAGTATCGTAACTGAGGGGATTTAATACACAGATTATTCAATTGATAAAATATTTCAATCAAAATGTACATCAATTTTTCTTCATTAGGGAACTCACCAGTTGTTTCTCTTCCTTTAAGTCAATGGACCTTTTTTTCATATCCTTATGTATGTAGTTCACTCACATTTACCCATTACCAAACAATTTTGAGCAATAATTAAAATTTTTAGAGCCTATTGAAGTAAATTATCTCTCAGCATTTTCCATTTTAAAACAAATGATAAAATGGTGAAAATGAAAGAAAATTAGCATAAGAACATTTTATTTCACAGAGTCTTCTCAATATAGACACCTACCTTATTTTGCATTGGTGAGCGGATGCTGTGATGACCCAGACTGAAAGCTCTTGGTTCATTTTATACCCTTCAGGATAATTCCCCTCTGATCTTCTTGTTTATATAATTGCATTTGAATTACTGCTTTCTTATCTGACAAACATCTTTTGAAAATTCATACTGAACCCCAAATAAAATGTGTTTAGACGAGCAAGCTCACAATATTTTCCCCTGGAAACTCTGACATTATTGAAGCATGCATTTTCCTCTCCCCTATTTCAAAATAAAATTACTCTTTTAAATATATCTGTTGTTAGTATTAATAAAGGATAGACATAAAATGGGAAAAATCAAATTTAAAAAACCCTCTAGTATCATCTAAGTCAGTCTTGGGAATGAGAATTTATTTGGGGCTTGAGTGCTCATGTAGAGATATATAGAATTATTCCTCATATATAAAGCAAAGGCAACTTCTTTTTGTGGAAATCCAGAGCAATTGGCACATATGTTGCTGATTAAAACAAAATTTTTAATTAGTTCAAAATATTTTATTGTTTTTCTTTGGATTTTAAAAGATGTTAAGTAAAATTTACATGTGTAAAACAGTCACTGTTTAAGTAACATGGCCAAATCTGGCAGGATGTCAAACTGGCTTGGGACCAAATTCTGGCTCTGCCATTTACTAGCTATATGACATTCGTATGCTTGACCTCTCTTTATCAGTTTCTTCACCTATTAAAAGATATTAGCGGCCAGGCACAGCAGCTCATGCCTATAATCCTAGAACTCTGGGAGGCCAAGGCAGGCAGATTGCTCAAGGTCAAGAGTTCAAAACCAGCCTGAGCAAGAGTGAGATCCCATCTCTACTATAAATAGAAATTAATTGGCCAACTAAAAATATATAGAAAAAATTAGCCAGGCATGGTGCCGCATGCCTATAGTCCCAGCTACTCGGGAGGCTGAGGCAGAAGGATTGCTTGAGCCCAGGAGTTTGAGGTTGCTGTGAGCTAGGCTGACACCATGGCACTCTAGCCTGGGCAACAGAGTGAGACTCTGTCTCAAAAAAAAAAAAAGATATTAGCAATATTTCTGAAAAGCACTTAACACAGTGCCTGGCACATAATAAACACTTAATAAATGATAGCTAATTTATGATAATTCAATATATTTATTTAATAAACTTAGAATGCCTACTGTGTAGTATATAGTCAACATATTTGTTGAATGCATACATGGCTAAGGGAATACATGAATAATTATTGAATTTCTGGAACCAATGTACACTTTTCTCCATCTCCATGGCTATAATTCAGTTTTACTCCTTCCAACTCATTTCTCTCACTATAACTAAAGTAATACACCAAAAATGCAATAGGAATTTCTCATACCCACAAAAAATGTCCAAAATCCCTAGTATCCTTTATAAAACACTTAACAATCTGTTTTAGCAAACCAGTTTCATGTTTCCCTCCTTTCCAATCCCTCCTCCTATTTTCTCACACCCTTTCTCTACTTTCTGTTTTCCAGCCAAACTGAAATGAGTTCCTCAAATCAGTCACATTTTTTCTTGCCTCCAAGCTTTTTCATATGCCATTCTTTCTGTATGGAACACATGCCTGACACCCCACTCCATGCCTCATGTCACCTGACTCCTACTCATCTTTCATGGCTTACCTGAGAAAACAACTCTTTTGCAAAGCTTTCTCTGATTCTCCAAGGCCCTCCTCGTGGTTAGTGGTTTTAAGAGAACTAGAGAAAATATTTAGAACACTTGGCATAGAATAGATGCTCCATAAATTACAAATATTATTATAAGTTATTGACAACCTCATTTGTCTTCACTTATCCTAGTCTTTATTGCTAATGAAAGTTAAAAAAAAAAAAAATTGAGGCCTGATTTTGGTGAATCTCCCTAGAGGATGGCAGAAAGATCAAGGACAAGTTTAGGATATGTTAAAAGAATAACTTTAGAAACATTGAATGTAATGGCGTTTAATTGAGCAAAGAATGATTGCTGAATGCTGAATTGGGCCGCCCTCAGGACCAGAAAAGGTTCAGAGAGCTGTGCTCCACAAGGTGGGCAAGAAGCATTTATGGACAGACATGGAAGTGAGGTACAGAAACAGTTTGATTCATTACAGCTCAGTGGGCCTGATCAGTTGTCTGCCTGTGATTGACTGAAGTTCAGCTGCTGTGATAAGCTGGAACTCAGCTATTTGATATAAAAGTACACACTAAGTTAGGCTTTCAGTTAGTTTACATACTAAGTTACATTGCAGTTCATCGTGTAGGAACTCACAGCGCAGAGGCATCCTCAGGCCACAGTTATTTTAATTTAACAGATATATACCAGAAATGGCCATTCCAGGAACC